TTTTTTTCAAATCAAAATAGTGCAAAAGCACATGTCGAAAAAACACTTTATCGCGTTCCATTTTTCACAAAGCAAAAGAAATTGTTGTTTAGGAAAATAATTGTGTATGCTGACTGAATGTTATCGAGAAATGTCGAAATTAATCACAAACTACCTGTTTCGTTAGTAATGACTACTAGAACTGTTTGCATTGCCATCTAACATTTGCGGGCGGAAACTAAGTTAAGGTCCTAATATGTGAGATAATTTTGAAACATTATAGAAATTATTCAAAATATATTTGTATATATATTTATAAAAAAATTTAATAGAAACTACTCTATTTCAAACCACGACACATTATTACTTAAAATCTTTTAAAAATTAATCTAATCAATGAATTGTTTGGAGAAAAACTATATTTTATATGGATATCCTAGTAAAAATTTACTCATTTAATAAACATATAAGATTTCTATCATTTTCTATAAAGTGTATCTTATGAGATTTTTTAATGGATGCTCGTACGTTTTTTATTAGCGTTTGCCCAGAATATTTCAAATACATGATACATCAAAAATATATTAAACCGCTTCTATAATGTCTTCATATAAAATCTTGCAAATATTTTTACAATATTTCTCAGCAATCAAGATCTCAGCACTACTTTTCAGAATTTTGTCCCATACCGTCTGGATCGCCGAAGAACGGAGCGCGGTAACGGGTTATAGTGAAATTTCGGTAGAATTCTTCTTGTGAAAAAGATTTTACAAATTGGCGTCCTATGAAAGACTTATCATCGAAAAACTATTCATTAGAACGCTTTATTATTGGAAATTAGAATTATTATAAATTTATTCTGACCATATTGAATATTTTCAATTGTCATTTCCATGAAAATGCGGCTAATTATTTAACATTAAATTGCAACCCAGAAAACACAAGATCTTCTAAGGACGTCCTCAGGACTTCCTCAGGATGTATTCTGGATGTTCCCTGAACATCTGTGCTGTTAGGAAATAAACAAGCATGAAATATTATTTTTGAAAAAAAATTATGATATCACAAAATTCTTTTAACGATCTATCCATGGCACGTGAAGAGATACAAGTATCGACAGAATATCTCTGACTTTTCTTTTATTATATTAAATATTTGGACTAAATAGTTTATTTTTGTAGTTCTACTAAATAATATTATAAAAAAATTAAAATTACTGCTTTGGTTGCATATGAGGACAATAAGAAACACTTAGTATCAGTTGAAGAAGTAACGCAGCAGCTAAGGTGATACACTAGAAACCTGAAGGTATCTGCAGGTTCTCGAGTTTTGCGTCCAATTAGTACTGAGTAAATTTTCTGGTGTAAAAATAGTGAGAAATCAATTAAAAGACCTAAATTTCATTTAAAATCAACATAAACTGACGTGTGAGTTGAAGATATATCATAAAATTATTTTTTTCTACAAGGTTTCAATATTTCCAGAATTACCCAGCAATATTTCAGAATGTCCCTGCAATGCTTCCAGAATATCTCAACAATATTACAAGTTGGTGACATAAGACATTGCAGAGACATTTCCAGAATATCTTTGAGATTATCTCCAGAATATTTAACATTGCAAGTGTAATATTCTGGAGACATTGCTGAGATGTTTTGTGTTGTTTGGGTTAATATGTAATGAATATAAGTTATTCTGGAATTAATATATTAAATGTTTTATTATATTCAGTACAAACGTGTAATAAAATAAAGGAAATGTTTTATTATAATGTGGCTGTTTCGTTATATACAAAATTATTTTAATTTAATTATATCAGGAAAGCATTACAGATATTAAGAAATGCGTTGCATGAATTTTAAACAGTGTGGATGTGATATTACATCACAGAATTACCGTTTCCAGATTCTATTCTCAAATGGTGTATACAGTCCAGAAGGAGCTATGAAAACAGTTCGAAAGTTGATTCTCGATCCGGTTAAAATGCAACGAACGAATGAAATATATATCAAATGCGATAAAGAAGGTAACCAATTTTACTGACGCCTATTTGTCATTTCTTATCGCTTCGATGCACTCGATATTAATTTTCACCTATTAAAAACCAAAATATCAAATGTCAGTATAGACTTTGAATATCTGACGAAGTATAAAATATATAAATATACTAGTTATATCCCATAAATATTCGAGCAAACGTTAACATTATATTTTATAGATGAAAAGCAAATAAAAAAATGTAATAAACGTGGATTTGTAAACCAAATTTAAGGAATAATATAAAAATTTTAGAGTATTTGAAGGAGTAATATTAGTTTTTTACGGTATCTAAAATTATTTTCTAAAATATGTAAAAAAGTATCTAAATTGCCATTGAAATATCTCTAGTTACTGAAAATTATTTTAGTAGTTCACTAGAAATAATTATTTTAGTAGTTCACTAGAAATAATTATTTTAGTAGTTCACTAGAAATAATGTAATATACGATTCGTAAAATTTGTTTACCCGAATGTATGTCAATTGCGTTTCAGACATGCGTACTGTATAGCCACTTTGTGATAGGATTCTTCCATAGCGAAGAGAAGTGTTATTTGTGTGTGTATTTTTGTGTCTGTGTGACTTATAAGTGATTGACAATATATTTATTACAAATGTTTGCTCTTCTTACATTTTATATGAGTTTGATTCTAATTTATTTGCAATTATATTGGGTTACTTGTTCAGATTTAGATTAGTGTAATTCATATAATATATAAAATATTATAATTAGGCAAAAAATATAATCTTAAATGCAGCTTGATTAAAATCTCACATATTAATATTAATGATTGGCACACGATAAAAAATTACATACTATATCTATAAAAGATTAGTCTCTCATTTATTTTCTTTTTATCATTGCAGTGATTGAAGCAGAAGCCGTCGGCATTGGAAAGTCAATACGATTTCTATTGTGCGGTTTGGAGCTTATATCAATTATCATTAATCAATAATGCATATTTTCAATAATACGCTTAAAAGTAAAAAATAAATAATGAAAATGGGAAACAGATTACTTTCAGTAGAACATTTTACATACATGAAATAAAAACAGATGTAAATCCGATCGTGCTACCTCCACACATTCGAAGGTCACGTCACTCTTACAGCGTTCTAACTTGCAAAACTTTTGACTCTCAATGATTTTGACACATAAAGATTCAAAGTAAACATTTTGGGAACACTTCGAAGTCAATCGTAAGAATTTTTACCGGAAAGTAAACACCAAAAATTACGAAATGTCACGCAGCCTGAATTGTATCGCAAGTATTTTTCACACACAGACTTGCGTAAGACTGCTATCGCGACTGCTATCACTTTTTTTTGCGACTTCATCATGATTAATGCGACTGTCGCTAGTTTGCATTAATGTAAATCAGACGGTATGAGATGGAATACAACGGACTAATGTTTAAATAACTCTTAATGTCCTATAAAAAGCGCGATGGCAGCTTCAATGCGTTCGCAGTGTTCACGCGTGTTACAGTTGCTACTGCCTGGAAACTGCGATCGAGTAGCCTGAAGAGTCAGAATGAAAACCATCGTGATAATTTTAAGCGCGCTAATCGCAGTAGTGAGTACCATGCAACGAATAACGTTTATTTCAGTGCAATTAATTTTCTCGAATTCTAGAACGTGGTTTACTGCGATTTGAGTGATGTACGAAGATTCAGAAAGGACTATGAAACATGCGCTCGCATGTACGGTGTAGCCACTCGTGAGTATTAAAATCGAAAACATTTGGAAGAAGATAGTTTGAAAAATTATACTATCTTCGCGGTGATAACAACTTTCTAAACAAGAAGCATAGAATAATTTCTTTAAAACAATTCTATGTTAATGTCCTTCTAAAACTCAATTTCTCGTTTTCTTTCCTTTCAGATGAGCTCCGAATCGACATGATCATTTGCGCGTCGACCTTAGATGGCGAGGTATATATATCTCAATCAATCAAAATTTCGATTTAATTTTTGAAAACAAAGTTTTGTCTATCAACTAGCCGCTATTTTTAGTCGCCAATGTAGATTTCTATTCTGATATTTGAGTCTTCCATGGTATAGAGAAATGTTTGTTCAGGCTTTCGAAGTATTGCTGCCGATTTCTTTCTACTGTTTCGTGAATATTTTGATTTAGATTGCTCCGCTTTTTAAAAGAAGCGAATTGAAATGTTCACGAAACACCGAAAACAATTCCGCGAAGGACACGGCACTAAGCCAAACCAAGTAAATCTCTATTGCAAAAAATGATCGGTTTATTGTCAAAAAATTTGAAAATCGGACGTTTATCTAATTTATAACTAAAATTGTGTGTGCATATTAATAAAAATATACTAATATATAATGAATATGAATTATACCGAAATTGAAGAATTGAATTATTTCGATATGTTCTACATAGTAAAATAATGAAAAGAAAGTATTATATTATAATAGGACCAACAGAATTTTGTTGGAAAATTATGACAAATGTTTATTTATATCAGAAAAGTACAGCAAATATTAGTAAATATTAAGAAAAGCGTTATATAAATTGCAAATGATGTGTATATAATATCATGAAATTACATTACGGGGTTACCGTTTCCAGATTCTGTACTCAAATCTCGCATACAGTCCGGAAGCATTTTTAAGGAAACTTCAAGAATGGATTTCCGACCCGGTTAAGTTGCAACAAGCGAATGAAATATTTTTCAGATGCGATAAAGAAGGTAACTGATTCTCTTGGCACCTATCTGTCACGTTTCTTATCACTTCGGGACACATTCGATATTAATTTTAACCTGTTAAGAAGTTTATAATTATAAAATATCAGTACAAATTTTGAATATCTAGCGATATGTTCGATACAACGTATGCAAATATAAAGCAAGCTATCTCATTCGGCCTCACGTTAACGCTATATTTTAGAAATGAAAACAAAGAAAAGGGATTAATAAATATAAGCCCGAGAAAAACAATCATTAACAAATTATATTAATTTAAATTTATGAACATGTAAGTGCAAATAATAACAAATAATAGCACACAATAAGAAGAAAATAATAGCTGCAAATAACAATAATATAACAATATAATTGCAAATAAATTAGCATCAAACTCCTGTAAAATGTAAGAGAAGATTTATGAAAATATTTATGACAAATTAGTGACTTAAGTCAAATATCAGTTCTTAATTTTTTTGCAATAATAGAGTCCGGAAAATGACCATTCAGTACAATATAGGCGCTTAAGACGCAAAACTAACACACACACGCGAGAATAAACTTTCTCAAGCTATATAATTGTTTTAAGCGACCGATATCGTCCTCAGTTCATTCATTTTAGTAGCAAGCTAAATCTTTCTTTTTACATATTTAAAAAAATAATTTTAGATACTGATCAAAACTGATATTACTCATTATTAGTTAATTTTTGGATGCATGTTTATTAAACATATTTGCTTGTTTTTATTTCTAAAATATAGTGTTAACGTTTAACCGAATGTTGTTGGAACATTCTGTATAATATATAAGTATTATAATTAACAAAAAATTAACTTTTGAATAGCATTATTAAAATCGTATATATTAATGTCAATAAATAGCACTATAAAAAATTACGTGCTATAGCTGAAAAAAATGAGTTTCTCATTCATCTTTTTTTTATAATTGCAGCGGTCCAATCAGGAACCGTCAACATTACGAAGACAATACAATTTCTAAGATGCGCTTTGCCAATTTGGATACTTGTGGATAAATAATACGTACTTTCAGTAATGCGTAAAAATGAAAGACAGATTACTTCCAGAAGAATGTTCTACATAAAACGTTCTTTTATGTATATTCTATTGAATTTTCAATATACCTTCTCTTTTCCGACTTCTCTATTAAATTGTATCAACGCGTATTAACTATTCAATAAAATATAATAAACTTGACAAAACGTTCTTACGTGCAAACAAGTCCCACTAAAGGAAAAAAGGAAGTAATCGCCCGAAGAAATATCGTGGGAGAAAATTTACTTTCGTGCTGCCTTAAAGCAGTGTTGGAGATTAATCGATCAAAATTTCCTTTGACAAAAATAATCGACAAATCAATAACCAAAATTAATCAATCGTCAATTGATGTAATCACGTATAATCGGTTAATGAAATTAATTATTAACCAGTCAAGTTTTTCATGATTTTTTTAATTGATTTAAAAAAATGTACCTTTAATTTTAATCGATTAATGCCGAATGTAGCCTTAAAGTAAATTTTATTGCTAACTAGATCACATTTTCAGAATGAAAAACTTCAAATAACAAATTCAATAATATAGCCCGAGATAGTATATGTCGTAAAAGGGACCGGGGCTAGTTAGCTATCGTCAAAACATTTTATTTCTAATATTTTCTAACAATTTACAAAATTAAGCAAGCAAGATTTTTAAATCTGTTAAAGATGGCTTTGAATTCCCTGCTTGCTTGATTTTGAAATCTGTTAAAGAACAGTAGAAATAATTGATTCTGCCAACTTTTACTATATGTATTAATGTAACTGAATTTTCTGTCACTTGGGAACCAAATAAAAAATTTCATTATAGGAACAAATACATTTGCATATGAGTATATGTAAAAATTATGTAAACGTAAACGACAAATTATGTAAACGTAAACGAAAGAGATTCTTTTTTACCACAAATATAATGTAAAAAAAATATTTAGTACAGATTCTTCTGCGTGTGGAATCTACTTTGAGTACTCGAAATGGCATTCACTGCTCGCAGCGTAGTTTCTTAATCGGTTTCCTAGGAGCGATTCACTTAATAACACCAGAAAAAAATGCTCTGTAATTTGCAAAACGTTGCACACTTGAAAAGGCTACCATTTAATACAAACATACCATTTGTAGACATTTCTAGGATTATCTGAGGAAAAAGGCCTAATGATATATTTTTTCTGAGAAATTATAATGTATTCGAGGAATACTTTTTTCTCTGATCAATGATGTCATTCAAAGATTCACAAACGCCTAATAGCGTAATACGACGACTCTAATGGAATATTATAATTTAATATCGATATAGAAATAAACACTAAATATTCCTTCACGTTCGAAACGTTCGGAATAAAAATCGATAAAAAGTTAACACAAAAGTCTTCCTCACACCACCAGCAATATTCTAATTTGTTTGCCGCCCACTTCTGCGTATTTCCAATATATCATTCGCACATTATTCTTCCGCTGCTAAAAATATTGTACATTTTATCAAACAACATGTTTTCATTTTCTGTCGTCTTATCTACATTATATCATCTCGCGCGAACTAGCATTGATGCAAATTAGATGAAATATGATCCACCACAAAATATTTATAGCAATTACGTAATAGAAAAAATCTTATTATGCACGATCTATATTCAAATCTTTAATGCACGATCGCGACTATAACAGGCAGTATATGATAAGAGCATCCGTGTGTATTGAAATCGCGCGCGTTCCCTCTCTGAAAGCTTAAAAAATGAAAGCCGCAGTGATGTGATGAAATGTGCTCACTCTGTCACGGTAAATATAAATATTCCTCAAAAAATATATACTTAAGTAAGTGTAGCGCTTGCAAAAGTTCGTATGACACATGATATTTTAATCAAAGTATTTTGGCCGTTGCTATCAATAACTTTTTGCCATCTTTCGAACAATAGTTTGATCCAATAAAATGACTTATCTTTTGGGACAATCCATTCATCGATTCATTTTCGCACTTCCTCAGCATTTCGGAACCGTGTATCAGATAAACCGCCCTAAATTGATTTAAACGGATGAAAATCAGATAGGGCGATGTCTGGAGAGCATGTTGGGTGTATAGCAGAACTTCTCAATTTGAATAACGTTTCTTTAGTCAAAACAGCAGCCTGGCAATGATATAAAGATGACTGTACATCGATTCATAACTATGTGAGAGCTTTTTTCCTTCATAGTTTCGTTCAAACGTCATTGTTGACTGTAACAACATCTTCTGTGTCTACTTATCCCGAGAATAATAACTCGTATAGCACTTCTTCTTAGTCCCAACAGATATACAAGAGATATACAAGAGAACTTCATGACCGTGAATGTTGCGTTTTGTTGTAAATGTCGATGGTTGATCGGAATCAACTCATATTTTTTTAGGATTGTTAAAATAGATCCACTTTTCATCCGTAATTATTCGTTACAAAAAACTTTTTTATGTCTGGCAAGCAATAAAAACGGATAGTAAGTCGGTTCTCGATCACATTTACAAAGAGTTCATGGAAAAACCATGAAGAAACCATTTCCTTTCCTTCTGCATCTTTTCCATTGCTTTCAAATGGCAAGCTACTGTTTTTTCATCAACTCTAAGCTGCCCTGCAAGCTCTCTTAATGTTTAGGCCGACTTTTCGTTGAGCAGAGGTAAACAATTAATATTATGTAATTCCTCTTACATCATCATTCTCAAGTTACAATCTGTTCGCCGGGCGTACCTGCGCGTTTCTAACTGTACTGTAACTTCCTCACCTTATCCTTTCGCACGTGTTCGCATTAATGCAAATCATTTGCAATGTAAATAATATAATTTCTTAGTCTGTGAAGTGGAATATTTGCGTGGCAATGAATATCTTATAAATGCGCGACAGCAGTTTAAATGTATCACAGTATACGGTAGAATCACTCGCGTGCTGCAATTAGTACCTTCCGAGGAGTCTAAGAAGTAAGAATGAAGACCGTCGCGATAATCTCGAGTGTGTTTGCCCTCGCAGTGAGTACAATGCAACGTAAGCCCATCCAAATAGAAAAGTAAAGTAAAAATACCAATGCTTGGATGCGTACATGCCTATTCACTAAAACGTAGAATTAGTGTTGTAATCTTTAGCGGCTACTTAGCCATTAGCTGTCAAATATGATAGAGCAGAATAATGCTATTCTAAAAAATTATAATCTAGCTACTATATAACGCCCCTAACATTTAAAGCTTTGAGTAGCAAATTAAAATAGAAGTTGCGTTATTTTATAAAAATCTCAAAAAGCAGAAATGAACGTTTCATTGTTGGTTGGCAAATAGTTACAAGTTTTCATCTTATCATAATTTTTTACCTTGAACCATTAGTTGACTTTTCTCTTGCGATAATATCACTTGTAGCTTGCTACTGCTTACAAATCGTAAGCTGCGGCCGCATCTGATGATTCTCTAAAACAAAATAATTTGTATAATATAATTTGTATAATGTAATATATATAATGTATTTGAGTGTAACTATTCATTTCGTATATCAGACGGTGATTTACAGTGCCGACCCGATTGCGCTACAGAAATTCCGGAAAAATTATAAGAATTGCGCTCAAATGATGAATGTTTCAAGTGAGTACTAAAATTTTGGTTATTCAGAGGAAGATAATATATATGAATGGAAAAAGTAAAATGATATTTCTCATAATAATAATAATTTTTTAACTAAGCAAAAAATAAGTTTTTCCCAAATCATACAAAGCTAATAAATTTTTTATAATCAAAATTTTATTATAAATTGCTTTTTCTGCCTTTTCCTCAGCTGAGGCCCAAATACAGGTGGCCTTATGTGCAGTAATCCAGGAAGGTGACGTACGTATTTATATTTATATTTGATATACTAAAGTATATATAACGTAATATAAATAAATCAAATAAATAAATAGGTAATGTTAATTTAAGTAAATAAATAAAATAAGAACAAATGTGATACAAAAATTAAAAAATTTTGAAATAGAATCTGTTCGATTTTTCACTTCGAGAAACATACATTTAAAACATTACGATTCTAATCTAAAACTAGATCTGCTAATTAGAACTTATAATTTTTTTTAAAGTCAGATTAGATCCCAATTAGATCTCAAAACATTTTCTGTGTGAATTCCAGATAATATACGCAAATGGAGAATACAATAAAAACATAATTTTAGGCAAATTTGAAAAATGGATTTCTAACCCGGTCAATTTGCAACGAGCACAAGAGAAATTTCTCAGATGCGATTATGAGGGTAACTGACTTTGTTGAATGAAAGCTCTACCAAGTGTTTCTCATCAGTGTGAAAACGCTTTTAAACCTATATCCCAAGTCGAAATTTTGATCCCACTTTCAGCTTTATTATTCTATACCTATTTCTATATATATGTTGATGCTTTAAAACCTACACATCAACCTCTTTTAATTCTATTTAATTATAATATCTACTCAAATCGAAATTTTTACCCTACTTTCAGCCTCACTATTCTATTCAATATCTATTTTGATATTCTGAAGTTTATAATACAATCTATTGTAACGCTTAAGAAAGTAGAAAGGGGAATTTCGAACATCATCAGAGTCAAAGTAAGAGTAAATTGTAAATTGAATTAAACTTACTTTGCTAACTCAGCTCCTACTACGTTGTACAATTTAATATAGATTAACATAGGTAGAATTTAACATAAGTTTAACATGGGGCCAAAATTTCGACTCGGAATAATCGATGAAAAGCTATAAATATAAAAAATTATTGAAACTGTCATAAAATTGTGAAGAAACAAGAAAAAATGTTCGCTTGAACTTAACTAATTAATTTAATATCTCCATAAAAATAAGCACCTCTCAAAATCGAGATTCTCTATAATAACGTCATTGACGCGTTGAAAGTGCTTTGAGAGGATCTGAAATAATACTCTCCTCAACTTCCAAATTCTTGTTTAATTGTAGCGACTCGAAGCGGAGCATACGGTATAGCAAAGACGATGCAAGTCTCAATATGCGTGACGCCAGTTATATCTCTTATAATGCAAGAAATGTGAAAATGGAGAATAGATTCTCTTCAAAGTATAGTGAACAAAACGTTATCTGTATGTATACCTTGTCATTTTCTGTGTATGTAATCACCATTTTAATATTTTGTTGAAACTCTATAATTCCTGTGATTATGCTGAACATACAATAAAATGTAATTAAATGAAAAAAACATAAATTTGTCTAACAAATTCAAATTGACAAAAACGAACAGTGATTGCTCGAATGAGTACCAAGAGAAGCTCGAATGAGTTGGAAACTGATGGCAGACAGAACGCTACAAAGCTCGCAAAACAAAAAGTCATGCGATAATTAATGAAAATATTTTCTTAACAAAAAGGTTGATTGTCACTTGTGTCACTTCTTGCTACACTGGAACTTCACTTTTACATAAATTATCCTTAAAACCATACTTAAAAAAATTTGTCTGCATAAATATGTTAAAATTCTTTCCTGACTAAAATCGTCGAAATTATGGAATAATTTGCTTTCCTGTGAACAAAGTCTCGTTTTCAAAGATTAATAACTTCTAATAATATGGAGATGAACAAGCTAAATTCTACATAAAATATAAGCATCAAAAGTTCAATAATTTAGAACGTTGTCTATACTTGGACGAAAGCACTCACATAATTATAATCAAATCTCGCTTCAAAATTTAATCATACGATTATATGTGCACCTCTATCATCATTTCTTCTATGTTCTACTATCTTCGTTTACTGTTTTCACATTCACTGCCAGTGTCGTACATGAGTGACGCATTCGATTTCTCACGAGACACTCATACACATAACAAAGTTAATCTTTCTTTCTGTGTCCACATAAAAAAATTAAGTTTTTTTTTATATTTTACGCAAAAAATAACATAGGTAGAATTTAATATAAGTTTGTTCTTTTTACTTAGATATAATTTTCAATTTAGATGTAGTTAGCGTAATCTAAGATTAGTAAATAAAATTTTAATTAGTAAATAAATTTTCTGATATATTATAAATGGTTCATTCTTTAGCTTTATTCTCTATTATCATTTCCAGATGAAAAGAAATTTTAATTATGAATGAATATGATTAATTATCTTTTGCATTTTAAACGAAAATTTACTGAAACAGAGATAAAAATTCCTAAAAAAACCGTGTGCAATGCGCCGCAAAGGAGACAAACCTACTCTGTAAGTAATAAAATTCACAATGTTCAGTTGTAATTAGTATATAAGAAAAAAATTTTCTTAATAAAAATTTTCATAATAAAAATAGTCTAGTAAAATCGGAGATTCAAAACCTAAAAACGTTATTTCATTTTTGCTGCTATAACGTTGTCGAAACGTTATAATCACATTGTGACAATAACTGTACTAGACAATTGTAACTGTACTAAACAAAATATTATGATTTAAGCTGCAATTATCACAGCCATTTTAAAGCTTTATATGCCACTTGGGAACAAATATTATAGGACTCTACATACTCAAATTCACCGAAATCATTAACCAGTTTTTTTGTTTGCTGACGAAGCGCCGAAAATTAAGGGCACGTGATAGGGGGAAAGACGAAAGCAAACGAAATGATCTCTTTGTGAAGTCAAACAACGCAAATGTGTGTTAATTATCTACGCACATAATTATGCTGCTTTTATTAAGTTTTTATTAAGTTCTGAATTATTTGCTGTTTTTATTAAGTTTCGCAAACGCATATATTTCACGGGATCTTATTAGCACTTAATACGTTCGTAAACAATTCATGTTACACGTTACCAAACGATCCACACGTTCCTTTTATCTTTAAGCTGGCCTATACCAGCTGGTATATTTGCTATTCTTGTTCCTATTGTTCCGTAAAAATACAAGTACGAATTGATAAAACACGTTAAAACGTTCAACAAGATATATAATAGCAATTACGTAATTTCAAATCATGTATTGTATAAGAGACGCCCAAGTCTCAAGGAAACTCACAATCAGTTCACGAGAGAATTTCTTTCACAATGCAATTAGCAATTCCTGGGATGTTCGTAAAATTGAAGGCTGCGATGGTGATGGTGTGCTTATTAGCCATCACGGTAGACACAAAGCAACTAATAATTACGTACAAATAGAATTAAATCAGCAAATCTGTAGCAAGATAAAGTCATAATTAAACAAGATAAAGTCATAATTAAACAAATATACTCACGCAGGAATAAAATGATGTGTGTGAATGTAGTGAGTGATTGTAGTGAGTGAATGTAGTGAGTAGTGAATGATTTGTTTCTAGAACAAACTTATTTTGTTATCTTAGTCATTACCACGATAAATCAATTCAAATTTACGATTCATTTGAGCTTGCATAACAAATTCATTAACTGTCCCAATAATATTTCCAGGTAGCACATACATATATCAGAAACGTTTCTTAAAAGTATCTATAGTTTCAGAACCGTAAAGCACCAATAAGAAACATTTTAACAAGAACCTCTCTGAAACCTTATTTATGAATCGTTTATGAAACGTTTATAAAACGTTTCTTCAACGATTTTTTTTCGCAAAAGTAACGTTTCACTTAACGTTTTTTGAGTGGACACTTTTACTTATGAAAAACGTTTCAGAAACGTTATGAAACATTTTGGAAACTGTTATGAAAGGTTTGGTTCTAACGTTTATAAAACATTTTTAAAACGTGTGTGTGCTACCTGGGTCGTGTCGTATTTAGTCAACAAAAATACAAAAAAAAGTATCTTTATTCTACGTAGGAATAATTTCAATCTAGTATAAGTTACAGCAAATTTCTAAAACAGATATTAATTTCACGGGACAATTACTTCAAGCGTATCGATCAATAGAAAACACTTCAATCTTACTAACGGATATAAGTAACGGAGTTCAATCGAACGAGTGAGGGAAGAATGAGAGGAAGCACCTGATCTGGAGTTGTCAGGACGAAGGCTCCGTTCGTTCTCGAGACGGAGGCCGGAATGTTTAACGACCGATGTTTCCGCTGCTGCATCCGCTGCACCTGAGCGCGAGCTTATGAATAAACCGAGGCGACCTTAACGCAGTCGTGAATTATTTAGAGGCGCAGCCGCTGCCACGACCGCGCTCGCGCCGGTGATAAAGCGCGACGCGGTTTTAACGGCCGACCGGTATATTCGCGAACGTGTCTCGCCGGGCGCGAGTGTGTACGTATATACAAAGTATGCGATGTATAGCCAAGTGACTGCGTACGTGTGCACGTGTAAAAGCGAGTCGCAATGGCTGAGGGAGCGAGACAGAGAGAGAGAAAGAGAGAGAGAGAGAAAGAGAGAGAGAGAGAGAGAGAGAGAGAGAGAGAGAGAAATCGCGTAAGCGACTCACGTCGCTGGTTATAATGGTGGTCGGTAACGGTGGAAGTTCGACCGTGTATGCAGCATCGCGTAAAGTTGTAGCTGCTACGAGCTGGGACAGGGGTTGCAGACGGGGTCACTGTAGACCTTGGCAAATGGCCGGCTTTAAAAGCGATCCCCCCGTGGCGAAGTAAGGAGCGCTCTCCTCTCGAGAACTCGTAACCGAGGACATTTTGCTCGCGAGGTTTTCCTCGACAATATAACTATCCGGGTTATGATCGCCGGAAGAAACATAGTCTTTTTCCACGTGAATTAGACCTTGGAGTTAATAAAGAGCAGAAAGATAGGACGAGGTAATTTGGAGACGAAGATAACGCACTCGCGAGTTTTCCTCGACGACAGTTATGGAATTGTAATCGCTATAAGGGAAAAAATATGTCTTCCTTCGTGAATTAGAATTAAAACAAGTACTGATTCATAAATGTGGACGACTCATTCGTGAATCTTTCTTGAGGATAATGAGATGAAAATTTTTTGTCATGAAATAGGTTTTTTGGATAAAGAAGATTAAATGAGCTTGGAGGTGTGTAGACAACTCTCACTTTCGAGTTTTCTTAAACAATAACTCTTTTTTCCTAAAAAATTACTCGTCAGAAGTAAAAAAAATAGACTCACAAAATAATCCGGAGCCAAGGAAGATTCACTCACAAGTTTCTTTAGACGATAACTTTTTTTTATTATAATCGTTAGAAGAAGGGTATCAAATTAGACTTCTTGTACAAATTAGACTTTAGGATTAAGGAGAGCCAGACTGGTATAACGGATTTGTTATGTAGGTAAGTCACATATTAGACGCCCACGTGTTGCCTGTAGATAGGCGCAAGCGATTGTAAAAGAGCTAACTTTCCGAGTTGTTCTTGACAGAAAGATCATGAACAATAAACAGACCCTCTGAGTTCAAATATCTGAGTTCCGCTATTTGCTAATCCACCGTACTATGTCTAAATTATAAAAAAAGTAATTTAAAAACAATTCGCTCATAAATTTCTCTCGACAATGAGTATTCAGTTATGATCATTAGGAGAAAATTTCTTCACAAATTAGATTTCAGGAGTAAGAAAGACCAAATAGACTCACAGAATAATGCGGAGGCAAGAAAGACTAGAGTTTCCTTGGACGATAATTCTATTAATTATGATCGTTAGAAGAAAGATATCTCTTTTTGCACAAATTAGATTTTAGTATTAAGGAAGACAACGGAGCAATTTAAAAATAAAGACGATTCACACATAAATTTTTTTTGATGATAACTTTTAAGTCATGATCATTAAAAATAAATGTTTTCCTTATGAGTTTGATTTTCAGGAATACAGAAGGCTGAATAAACCAACAGAATTGTTCAGACACGACTCGCTCGCGAGTTTTCCTTGCGTTATGAATGTTAGAAGGAAAGATGTATCTTCCTTGACGAATTAAACTTTAAGATTCACGAGTGCCATATACAGTGACAGAGTAATTTAAATATAAGGACGACTCGTCCATGAATTTCTCATGACGAAAACTTTTGAATTATAATCATTAGAAGGGAATTTTTTGTCACGAATTTTTTTTTCAAAGTAATTCAGAAACAACGATGATTCCCTCGATAGTAGTGCAATTATGAAAGATGTGTTCTCCTTTCTTCGCGAATTAGACTCTAGACTTAATAAGGAGCAAACTGACAGAGTAATTCGGAGCTGCGGATGACTCACTCGCGGATTTTCCGCGACGAGTCCTTGAATTACGGAACGTTCGAGGGAGAGGTTTTCACAAGCTAGACTTCAGGATTGACAAAGTGCCAACAGAATGGATAGAATAATTTGCAGACAAAGACGACTCGCTTGCGGCGCAGATTCGTGCGCGACTTTTCCATCATGGTATTTCCCGCAAGCGGGCAGACCGACATTAATTGTGTCGATTCGCGATATTAATCGAATTTTAATATCCCTCGTCTCACGTGAGATCATAATTGCTGCGTGAGATTCGAGGCGCGAGGAGCGTGACGAAAAGCGTATGAAATGTGCGAATGGCGAAGTGCGAACGTGAGGGAATCGCGACGCATCTTCGCGCTGCTGGAAAACGCAAGCCGACCGGAGGATTCGCGCGGACGAATCCGCGTGTTAGTGCCGTTCTGTTTACATGTGACTGTCGAATGGCCAATTCCGAAACACAGAGCAAGGTCGGCTCTCGCTTTTGCAGAAGCCGCTCGCCCATTTAAACGTAACACAGGACGGGCAAAATCAGGCCATCGCGCGATGTGACTGGCTGCACTTTGTGTATCTATTGCGCGCCATAACGTGACACGCCGCGCGACCTTGGACGGTCACCGTAATTGCTATCATTATTTTTATCACTTATCGTCATCGTAATTGGCCGTTGTTATTCACATCGCTCAGTCATGGTTGTTCGTTATTATTTTGCAATTTTTTATTATTTCTCTTCTGCGCTACCGTATTACCCGGTGAATCCCGCCGGGGCACTTTTGTCTAACAGCAATTTACCAGATCTATTGATAAATTATGTGATCAAAGCGACATTGCAATAATATCGATGAATTTAACAACGATTAACTTTGTCTATAGTCGTCATTATCGTTTCGAGCTCGCAGAGCGTCTTCGTTCAATTGCATTCAGAACTAGTAGATTTGAGGAAATAAATTACTTTTTCAGATCAAAAAGCAACAATAATCGGGGATTTTTCAGAGAACAATACTAAATAAATATGTTTATATTTTATATTTAAGTAATATTTTCGTTTAGAGAGACAAAAAATATATAAGTTTAGTGCTAAAGTAAATATATTAGTTTTGTGCAGAAATTACATCATAGCATATATTAACTGCAACTTTTGCATGCCTTTTTAGTTTTTGCATGATTTACTTTTTTACAATAGTCCGATAAGAAAAATGAAAAATGTTTTTTTATAAAATGATATAGTTGGACCAGAATTTTTGTTTTCGAGCAATTGAATTTCTCTGCTCACTTCGTAAAAAAGAAATTAAAATTGTTTGTTGAAATTTGTTTCTATCTTATTTTTTAAAAATCATTATGTTTGTAGATGTTTTTAAATAATAACATGTTATCTGGGGTGTAATTAGATTTTTACTTTTCTGCCAGCAAGTTCGCCAAGTTACATGATCACGAGTGGAACTTTTCACTTATCACATTTTCGTCCTAGGGAAAAAGTTACGTGATCGCTGCCCCGAAAGGCGTGTAACAGTTGCAAGAGCGGCAACGGGTGACATCATTTTCGCACAAAAAACAGAAATAATTTTTTTTTAATGTAAATATATATAAAAATCAAACAAATTCATTTATTCATTTATTCTTCAAATAAATTCCCGAATATTGTTGCTTCCGAGAAACTTTAGCCACTAGAAACAATTTGCCCTCTTAAGTTCAATTTTATCGGATTATTTATCGTAATTAATAAACATTAAAAAAGTTATATTCACCCTATTACTCTTGCGGTAAAACTAAAGTGAATTCTGCATTTTTGCATTTGCACGTATTACATGTATACTATTCATACACTTCGGTTCGAATTTCGGCTTAATAGTTTAGCAAAGACACCAAACCTTTCGGTTCGAATCCCGGCTTAATAATCTAGCGGGGCCTCGAAACACTTTGGTTCGAATCTCGACTTAATATTTTAGCGGAGACTCCAAAAGCCGTACAAACGTTAAATTTAAACTATAAAATATATAATTACGTTTTTCAAATTCCACATGCCAAACACTAACAATCAGAATTCTAAATTTTGGATAACCCAAAATAATATCTTTTATTTTTATTATATGCATCTATCTTTGCGAAGAACTGCATCTCGTGTGATATCACCATATATCTCCACCTGTCTATAATCCACGACGAATTAATTCACATCCGCATTTACGCAAACGTTATCTCGAATCTGGAAGTCGGCCGCAGAAATGATGTTTTCTCGCTGAATATGTTTCAGACACGCTCGCCTATTATAATGTTCCCTCCGCCCGCGCACACACGCGATTGCAATGCCGCATCGACCACCACACCGACCGACGCCTAATTTGCACACGCCCACACTCGCACACGAGACAATGTACAACAACGATGACGATACAGTGAACGCGATATCGGAGGCGCCATCAAAATTTCTGCAAATCTGATACGCCATTTATGCACGGCGCGCTTCCGTAAATCCGCAAACGCGACATAGGAATTGTCCATTGGAACGTGACGTAAGATCACAATGACCGAATGGCCGACTCGGGGTGTGGGATTCAGAGTATAAATATGCGCCATAGAAAATCTCAGATTCAGTGTGTGCGCGGATCGGTTTCTGACTTTGCACAAAGCTGCTCGCGAAACATTAATCGGACGGCATGAAGAAATTCGCATTCCTCGTTCTCGTCTTTTCCGCTGCCGTGAGTCTGTTTAAATAAAAGGATACTATACATAACATAAAATAAAAATAACGTAAAGAGTTCATTGTTAATATATCTCAATAATTTATAATTAATTGTAATATATCTCAATAATAAAAATGTCTTGCTGGTTTTCGGATAGAAAAGGCGTTTTCTGTGAATCTGTCTTTGATGTTCCGCGAATATTTCAATTTGCTTCAACCAAATAATTACAAGAGAGAGAGAGAGAGAGAGAGAGAGAGAGAGAGAGAGACACTTTGATATAACTAAAACTACTATACTAAAATAAAAAAAATTATATATATATATATATATATATATATATATATATATATACAGAGAATAAAAAAAAGTATATATATACAGAGATCTCTTTAAATTGCAGATTTCTGCAATTTGACTTTAAAAAAAATATTTCTACTGTTATTCTTTTTTTTTATACTTTTAAATATCATTTTATATTTTTTTTTACCTTTTTACCTTTTTTATACTTTTATATATTTTTATATACTTTTTTATTTTAATTTCCTTTATCAAGAAAAGAAGCAACCTGATATTAACGTGATAGTATCATGATAGTATCACGTTGCTCCTCTCCTTGATGAAGTAAACCAAGATATTTACGAAACAATAAACATTTTAACCCAGAATTAAATCCATTTTTCTACATAGCGAAAGTCCTCAAAATATCATCTATTATTGTACACATTATGTGTGGAATATATAAAATTATTAGTAACACCCATAAATAACTCAGTATTTCAAAATAAAATATATTTAGGAACCTATATAGAAAAAGCTTTAATTTTTTAATAATATAATATAAAGTAATAATAATGTAATATAAAATTAAACATTTTTACCCCCGCACACAAATAGCGCACTATACTATATTAGAAAGTACCATGTATATACTACAGAATACAAGTAGAAACTGATAAGAATAAATGCAGAATTATTTGTGGGTAACTCTGATACCAATTTCAACTCGACCTCTTCGAGGATATTCGCGAATATATCGTACCTGTCATTGTGACTCTATGCAATTTCTTTATTTCAGGCTATTGCCGAAGAAACAGGCATAAAACAATGGGCGGAAAACTTCGATGCTAGCGAAGAAATCGTAAAGATGTGTTTAACCGAGGCAGACTCGACGGAGGGTAAGTCGTTCGTGAATATAAAGCAAATTACAAAGATAAAAGTCAATTAAAAATGCATATAAAATTCCGCGCAGAAATATGCGCGCCCTGGGATGTATTAAATAATTAAAGAGACCTTTCACGACAGCGGAGATGCAGAACATAGAAAACCAGTTCGAAAATATAGATGCCAACAACATCAACGATGAAACTAAGAAAAATTTCGAGAAATATAATCTCTTCATGGCTTGCATGATGGAAAAGAAAGAAATGGTAATAATTGCGCTCTAGCAATCGATTAAATCTATGTAAAATTGATTAACAATTTTTTTAAATTATTTTTTTTAGATTTATGCAAAGTCGTAACAACTGCGAAAGAAAAAAACATACAATTATAAAAATAACCCGCAAACTTAACATTTAAAATTAAACTATTAAGATTTTCTAATCGCATTGATTACAAAATCGCATTATTGATTTGTTATCTGTAATCGCATCATTGATTTGTTATCTGCCAATTATTCAAACAAGCAATAATAATAAAGCAACGATCTATTACTGTGATAACTTTACGTTAATATTGAGAAAAGTTAGTATTAAAAACACTAAACTTACAGTATGTTAACTAACAGTATGTAAAAATTGTTCTGTCGCACTGATTGTTAATTCCATCGCTCGTAATTGCCTTTAATATTAATTTCAGATGAAAGATTCGAAAGTGGTCGTGGATAAGTTGATAGAACTCATAGAGAAGGATAAGGACAAATTCCCCATTGACAAGGAAGTCTTGAAAGAATGCTTGGAAGGACGTGAGTAAACTTAATGCGGAATCATTAGAATTCTAATCGCGTCTCTTTACTGACATTTTCTTCTTTCATTCATCTTCTTCATTTTCTTCATTTTCTTGTGTGTTTGTAGGTTTTATCAAACTAAACGAAAAAATCCTCTACCATTTTTAGAAATGACTACGTAGACTACTTTTAGTTATTAATTTAAGGAACATTGATATATTATCGCGCGCGATCATCCGCCAATCATCGCACTTTCTATCCTAATGCATTCCCGTGCATGACGAATCCGCCATAACATCTTAGACGGTTCATATTGAACATTTGTTACGATTTTTGACAAACTTTCTTTTCAATTACATTTTACTTAATTTATTTTAATTTAATTTTATTCCACATAAAATTATTAATCTCATTATTTGAACAATGTTTAAAATGCGATTTTCAAATGTGTTTTTCACAAGAACCATCCGCTTTCTCAAAATCAAATAAGAATATTTTCTTTCTCAAAAAATTTGAGAAATCTAAGAAAGTGTTCAAAAATTAAAAAATCCTGCTCTCCTCAAAATTTGGAAATAAAGAAATTGAGGAGTTGGTTTGACTCCCCGCTGCTTGATCTAACAAAAAATATATCAACCCATCCTAACGACCTTTGTCTAATACGAAAATAAAGATTGTCAAAATCTGAAAGCGATATTAAAGTGACTTTTAGAAAATGGTTTTCTAAATTCGGAAGTAAATATGTCAGTAAAAGTGCGCTTTAGGAAAACAGTTTATATGAGCTAATATTCACTTAATTTATAGGATCCTAAGAGATTGTCCACTTTTATTGAAACATCTTATATATTATAAAATCATCAAATATTTCTTTATGTATTCAGTTTTATGTAATCATGTAAAACACTTGATTTGTTCATGTGAGCATAGAAAGAAAAATTGTCTCTGTCACACACGTGTGACACTGATCTTTCATAAGACTTCATTTACAATATGCAAAGTAAGTTTGAAGTAAAAGAGTAGGAGTAAGAAATAAAAATAATTTATTTCGCTTACGTCTATACTCCAGCTCCCTTACGCCAATAGGAGCTGTCTTTCAGTCAAATAAATACTTCCAGTGTAACGGAGCTAGAATTTAGATGTATACAAGTGAAATTTATTAATTTTATTACTCTTACTTTTATTTTCTTACTCTTACTTTTTATATGCTAAGCTTACTCCACTTATTGTAGACGAAGCTTGAAGGACCGTCTGCAAGATGAATAAAGTATAGCTGTAAAAAGTAGGAAAAATTGACCAGTCACAGTCGAATGTGAGAAGAATAGTCGACTGTAATTAATCGATTTTTTACCCTCTTACTTCTTACTTTATTCCTATTGCAGATGGTCCTTTAGAAATCGATGCGTCTCACCCGTGATTTCAATATGTTGTCAATCGATCATCTATCAATCATTTCGCGAATCAATTTGACGATCTCGAGACACGTCACTTTATGCGAGTGAGCCAAATCGAACACTAATCACTCTGTATCCGACTGTTTCAGTGAACGATGACAACGAATTGACTCGGGAGACCAGGGCGATGGGTGCGATACTGTGCATAATGGCCGCCGAAAGCAAAAACTAAAGGAAGTAAAGAGGAGTGCAAGTTCACAGGCGCGACGTCGCATCTGTCTCGACCGGAACACGCGGCGATAGGAATAACGGGCAAAATTTCAATCATCGGGGTTTAAGATGTTGTTCCTTTAGACACGCAATAAACGTATAAGTATGCAGACACAGTAATCGGATTGTTCGATAACTCGTTTAACCTGAGGACGCGTCAGAGTGTACTGCACTTTCCACATGTTACATACTAGGTATACAAATGAATAATCCAAATTTATTTAAGTAGTTAGAGAATATTAAAATTAATTAATTTCTCTGCTCTTTATCGGCATCTCGCCGTTAGTGTTTACACGAAGTCACAATAAATCGCGGACTTTATCGCAAGATAAACGCTTTTGTGATTTATCCCCGCAAATAACACTTAAAAACGAAGCCGATGAAAAAATATCACCCGCACGTACACGAGGTCGAGAAATCGTGATTCGGAGATTAAAAAAGTAAGAAACTCCAAGACAACTGATTTTTGAAGATAACAAAACTTGCCACGTATTTGTCTCCACGTTTATCCTTTCGCAATGCAATATATAATGAGTACCACATTCGAATTGCAATCTCAAAATAAGATCGTCTCGCTTGCGAATTCTTCTTCACGGTAACTTTTGAGGTTTGATCGTTAGAAGAAAATTTTTCGTCACGATTTAGATTTTTCGCAGAATAATTCAAGATCAAACATAATTCACTCGTGAGTTTCCTCCGATAATAGTCCTACAATTATGAAGGTTAGAAGGAGAGATGTGTTCTTTTTTCTCCGCGAATTAAACTCTGAGCTGGACGAAGAGCAAACAGACTTGACAGAGTAATCGAAGATGACTCACTCACGGATTTTCCGCAACAAGTCTTTGAATTACGGAGCATTCGAGAGAGATTTTTACAGCCTAGACTTCAGGATTGACAAAGTCATAACAATTGATAGAGTAATTTGCAAGCAAGGACGACTCGCTCGCGACGCAGATTCGTGTGCGTGGCGTTTTTCCGCCAGTAATTTCCGCAAGCACGCAAGAACGGCGTTAATCGTGCCAATTCATGATATCAATCGAATTTTAATATCCCTCGCCTCGTAAGACTCATAATTGTTGCTTGAGATTCAAGACGCGCAAACGTGCGCGTGAGAAACGTGAAGAAACGTGCGAGAACGACTGACGAAGTGCGAATCTAAGTAAATCACAACGCATTTTCGCACTGCAGGAAAACGCAAATCGACCGGCGGATTCGCACGGATGCAGACGCATTGAGAGAAAGAGAGAGAGAGAGAGAGAGAGAGAGAGAGAGAGCGAGAGAGAGAGAGAGAGAGAGAGCCGTTCTGCAACTAATGCTGCAATTCTAAGCAAATATACGAATTTAAATCGTAAAATCGTAAAGTCATAGCTTACGAAAAAAAAAAATCGTAAATATTTATGAGATATCATATGACATACAGTCCACATAGAATTGTAGATCTACTCATATTCTTATACTCAAGTTCTTATGAGTCTTACGAAAACAAGTTACGATTTATGAGTTACGATTTACGAATTTTATGATTTTGTTTAAAATTGCAGTATAAATTCAAAACAATATTTTGCTGATCAAAGTAGAATTCTAAACCACAATTAAAATTTATTGATTTATTTATATGTCATTGAATATTATCTGTGATACATAGAATCTACAACAAAATAGCATGCTAACAATAAATGCAGGAAAATTTGTGTCCCATTACCAATGATCGATCTAGCCTTAATCTAAATTGGCGCCGCAGAGAAACTCTCTTGCTAAATTTCACGAACGACTATAAAATAAAAGTAAATTTTTTTACAAAATAATCTTGTAGTTTGTGTCTGGGAACAGAATATTTATTATTGATTTAGTTTCTTTAAGAACAAAGTAAATTCCTACGAAAAATTTTAATTTCTTTTTCGCTATATAAATATGTAAAATATAAAGATATAAATTCTGAATCTGTCATCTGTCATCGATTAAATACAAAACATACGCGAAATCGCAGTGCTTTTAGCTAATTCCTCGTACCTAGACGATCTGACTGCAAGTCTATTTTTTATTTGAATGTACGTCTGCATTTTTTATCGCTGTATCACTAATTCCGAAGCACAGAGCAAAATTGGTTTTTGCTTTCGCAGAAGCCATCTGTCCATTTAAACATGACGAAGGATGAGTAAAATTGGATCATTGCGCAGCGGCTAGCTACACTTTGTATGTATTTGTGTTACAATTTGTTCACTTTGTATTACACGCCAAAACGTGACACGCGCTGCACGAGCCGCCCGACTTTGAACGATCATCACAATTGCTGTCATCATTTTTATCATTTATTGTTATCGTAATTTGCTGTTATTACTCGCATCGCGCACAGTCATCGTTATTCGTTATTATTTTGCAATTCGTTGTTAGTTCTCTTCTCCGCTAACGCCCGATGAATCTTCTGCACTTTTGTCTAATGGCCTACTTACCGGATTTATTATTAAATTATATAATAATCGAGCAACTAACGCAGCAACAGTGTGATGATATCGACGGATTTAACAACAATTAACTTTGACAATAATCGTCATTATATGTACTATCGTCTCGAATTCGCAGAGCGTCTTCATTCAATTGCACTCAAAACTTAAGTTTAACTCTTAAGTTTAAGGAAATAAACAGATTTTATCAAATATTATTATTATTTTTTCAAACAGAAAAGCAATAATATATTCGAAAAAAATTTTTTAAATAATACTAAATGTGAATATCTTTCTATTTTATTATTTATATATTTTTTATATGTTATGGAGTAACATTTGCATTCAGACGAATAATATACAATTATTTTTCTGCCGCATACACTACCTGCAATTCTTGCACGATTTATTTAGTCCAATAAAATATGAAAAACGTTTTTATGATTTATATAGTCCAATAAAAAATGAAAAATGTTTTTATCAAATAGTGTTATGTGTATGTGGAGTTATAATATTTTTTTTGTCTGAAAAAATAATATAATTTATTTCCTTAAACCTAGAAGTCTTGAGTGCAATTGAGTGAAGACGCTCTGCGAGTTCGAGACGAGTGCATATAATGACGATTATTGTCAAAGTTAATCGTTGTTAAATCCGTCGATATTATCACACTGTTGCTGCTTTAGTTACTCGATTCACATAATTCACTAATAAATCCGGTAAGTTGGCTATTAGACAAAAATGCAGGAGATTCATCGGGCAAGGTTAGCGGAGAAGAGAATTAACAACGAATTGCAAAATAATAACAAACGACGATGACTATGCGCGATGCGAATAACAAATTACGATGACAATAAATGATAAAAATGATGACAGCAATTATGGTTATCGTCCAAAGTCAGGCGGCTCGTGCAGCGCGTATCACGTTTTAGCATGTAATACATACACACGAAGTGTAGCCAACCGTCGCGCAATGATCCAATTTTGCTCATCCTCCGTCATGTTTAAACGGACAGACGGCTTCTGCGAAAGCAAAAGCCGACCTTGCTCTTATATATATATATATATATATATATATATATATATATATATATATATATATACATACAGGGTGACCCATGTAAAGTGTTACAAGCTAATAACTCTAAACATATTTGTCCTATCAAAAAGTTGTTTATGAGAAAGTTTCATATATTAGAGAGGCCTTTCTAACTACGTAAACAAAAATCCACTTCCGTCCTCCCTTGAAGAAAGGTAACTTCAAAGTTTCAAAGTTTAGAGGAACCCCCTATACAATATTATATATTTGGATTCTACTGGAAAAAAACAAGTAAACTTTGTCTGAAATATTTCTTTGGAAAATACTCTTATCAAAAGTTATAAACATTTAAACTTTTAGCCATTTCATTGATTTTACACTTTTGGACTATTTTTTATGGGGATATCAAAGAGGAAGTCACATCTCAACCACTTACGACGAAAGAAGACTTAAAACGAAGAATACGTACAACTTGCACTAAAGTGACTCCAGAAATGTTTAGAGTTAGGCAAAGTTTTGTAAAAAGGATTAATAAGTGTTTAGATGTTAATGGTCAACAGTTCAAACATTTAGTAAAATAAAACAAAACAGAAAAACTATGAGTCTTATTTAATTTATCATTAATTTCAATGCACTCTACATTAAAGTTTAAATATTTATAACTTTTGATAGGAGCATTTTCTAAAGAAATGTTTCAGACAAAGTTTACTTGTTTTTTCCCGTAGAATCCAAATATGTTACATTGTATAGGGGATCCCATTTGAAACTTTGAAGTTACCCCCCGCCGCTCTTCAAGGAAAGAGGGAAATGAATTTTTGTTTACGTAGTTAGAAAGACCTCTTGAATATATCAAACTTTCTTATGAACAGCTTTTTAATAGCATAAATATGTTTAGAGTTATTAGCTTGTAACACTTTACGTGGGCCATCCTATATGTGTGTATGTGTGTGTGTGTGTGTGTGTAAATGAAACATATTCATTTATTTAATAGTTTTTTTTAAATGAATTCCCGAATATTGTTGTTTCCGAAAAATTAGCCACAAGAAGTAACTTGTCGATCTTAAAATCAATTTTACTGGATTATTTATCGTAATTAAGTGGCTTATCGCTATATGTAATTATAATGTTCCCTCCTTTCGCATGTGCAATTACAATTTCGTACCAGCATATCGACCAACGCGTAATTCCCACACTCGCACATTTGCGCGCGAGACAATAAAAAACAGCGATGACAATACAGTTAATTAGAATCTCCAGAAACAAGAGGCTGGTCCATGTTGTTCCATTTCTGATTGGTTTGATACGATATGGCGGAAACAATCAGTGATAACTGAGTACGCAAAGCAGTTAAAAAACAAAAATATACAAAATAAATGTAATAATATATTCTGACTCGAAAACAAATAAACATAACAACATTATATTTAATTTTTATTAAATAATTCTTAAAACCATATGTATAAAAGTATTACAGCAACATAAAATATTAAGTTAATATTAAATAATTTTTGTTGATGATGGAGTGATAATAGATTATGAGTTATAACAGATTATTGTTATCATTTCCATAACTTATATATTCGATATCTTTTATGTTAACAAATTTCAATAAAATTCAATTCTCAAACATATGCTCACCTGTTTAATAGCAAACAATTTTTTAATAATAATTAAAATGTCATTGAAAAAATAATCTTATATTCCATTCATAGGTCTGTCCTTTGTCGAATAAACTAATGCACTCTGGTTTATTTCCGTTCCTTTTCCTTACAAAGTTAAATAATATACTCGAGAAGTTGAACTAGTTTAACTAGTTCAGCAATAAAAAACGAATATATGCTTATGCCACAGTTATTATGTCATTTTGTATCAAACCAACAACATCGAGCCAGACTTTTACGTCTAGGAATTTTATGATAAATGCGATATCGACGACAACATCGGAATTTATGCTAATTTGACACATCAGCCAATTATATACATCACGCTTCCGCAAATTCATAAACATAATACAGGAATTGTCGATTGTAACGTAATATTGTACGATTGTATTGATGACATAAGAATATAATAACGTTCTCAGGTGTGGGATTCGGAGTATAAATACGCGGCATAGAAAATCTCAGATTCAGTGTGCGCGCGGATCGAATTCTGATTTTACACGAAATAGCTCGCTCTTACGAAACGTTAATCAAACATCATGAACATATTCGCGTTTCTTGTTCTCGTCTTCTCTGTTACCGTAAGTTTGTTTAAAAAAAAGATACTATAATATATAAAATAAAAATAACATAAAAACCTCATAGAAAAGCACATAAATAACATAAAAATAACAATAGATTATTGTTTCTCAATAATCTATAATTAATTGTAATATAACTCGATATCCATACAACAAAAAAGTTTGAAAAAGATTTCAGGAAGATCTCAGCAAAGTTTCAATGTTTCTGAAAGCTTTTTGAAACTTCTGTGCTATATGGGTAATAATAATGTTTTGCTGAATTCGGTTTCCGGAAGACGTGTTTGTGGTGGACTCTGTAAATATGTCTTTGATATGTATTTCCTGAACATTTCAATTGGTCTCAATTACATGATATAAGATTTTCTAATTAAAAAATAATAAAAAATATAGTGTGTCCGGTAACTCACGGAAAAGCCGCGGTATACTGGTAGATTACATACAATTTCATTACTTCAGGTCATTGCCGAAGACAAGACAAGCATAGAATATAAATTCAAACTTGTGATGAAGTGTTTAGACAAAGCGCATATGACAGTAGGTAAGTCACTCGTGAAAATCAAGCAAGTTACAAACACGAGAGCTAATTGAAAATACATGTAACATTCCGTGTAAAAAGTACGCGCGTACTGGGATATATATTAGATAATCAAAGAGATCTTCCTCACGATAGAGGAAATAAAATTTGTACAGGAGAATATAATGAGGATGCAAGACGACAAAATCGACGAAAAAGCTAGGAAAATTTTTGAGAAGCACGGTTACTTTGCAGCCTGCGTAGAGGAAGACTTAGGAATGGTAATGACTACGCTTTCGCAATCTTCGCTACTACATTTATGTAGGATCATTTAAAAAACCTTTTCATGCATTCTTCTTTTATACAAACTCATAACAACTGTAAAAGAAAAAAAACAATACAATTATGAAACTAATTCACAAACTTAATGATTAAAATGTTTAGAATATTAGGATAATCGTAGGAATTTATTAATTACTATTATTTTATGTAGTTATTATTAATTATATAAAAAATGATAACAATGTGACAAAACTGCAATCCGTTACTGTGATGGTTTTGCATTAATATTTGCAAAAGTGAGAAAAAATTAAGAATATCAAACTTTCACATCATATTAAGAATAATCTGTCGCAATAAGTCTTAATTCCGTCGTATTGCCTTTCATATTAATTCCAGATAGAAGACTCGAAATTGGTCGTGGATAAAATAATGGAAGGCGTAGAGAGGGATATGGCCAGAAAACCCGTTAACAAGGACTTCGTGAAGAAATGCGCGAACGCACGTGAGAGAACACAAAGCGGGACAATTGGAATTCTAATTTTCCTGTCCCTTCATCTAATATTTTTTTTTCTTTCATCTTACTACAGGCATCCAGTATTAACACTTGATGTTTACGTTTTATTTTGGAATCCTACCAAAGCTATAAACCTTTCACAGACTTATTTTTTATATAATTTATGTATTATATAAAGTAGAACACCTGAGTACAGTACCTGGATACATGCATAACTCTTATTGCTTTGAAATTTAAATATAAATATTTAAATTTACAAAATACAGAATATATATATATATATATGTATATATATATATATATATATATATATATATATATATATATATATATAT